GGGGGGAGCGGGTTGGGGGGAAATGATGATCCGATGTATGTGCCGCTGCTTCTTTGTCCAATCACAGGCTGGGTTCAATCTGCAGAGTGGCTGTGCTATCTGGTAGGGGGGCCTCAATCACAACATGAGCAGCAGAATGTTACAAATCCTTTTGGAGGTAAGATAGATATGTTATATAGAAAGCCAATCAATACGATCTCTTAAAACCTTCAAGCCATCAGAAAGATTCAAGATACATTTTGAAATGACTTTGAATTTTGCAGCCGTCAATAAAAGAACATGCGGTGATCCCGCCATTGAAGGTCTCCGCACAGGAACTTCCTACTATCACACTCTGTCCCTATCTCCCAGCTGTGTTCCTGCATTCTCACCCAGTCACAAGTTCTCCCAATGGAGACCACAACCAGCTGTTCCGGCACACTTTGCACCGGCATGCTCCATTGTTGTCACCACCAGGAGACCCTGACCCTGAAAAATGAAGTTCAGCACTTCCTGGAGAGAGCGCATGTAGACAGGAAGTCTAGATGTGCTCTTCCTAAGAATGAACAAGTCTTACCTGATCAAAGCTTGTATTTAACTTTCTCAGCGTCGTGTTGTATTTTCTCATTTGTTGCCCATGTTCAGCCAGAACTGCAGCTTCCTTCGTTATCTTCCCTGCAGGTAGATGGAGAGGAGAAAAGTAAAACCCACACACACGGGTTCTAGGTAGTTAGGGATCATCGAGCTCTCACACAACATAACTCACCATTAACCCTTTTGCTGCCAGAGCCGCTTATGTGGCCCTTTTTTGCACACGTTAAAATGCACATTTTAGGGCCCAGTCACATAGTTCAGGCCAAGCTGCGTTCTGGGGCGGGAGGGGGTGTGGCGGTGCCATTCATGTCAACGGTACCCCAGCCTGCAGTGCGATCACCCACACCAGAACGCGGGGTACAAGAATGCCCTTCGTTCTGATGCAGTGTGATCGGAAAAAATAGTGGACTGCACGAGAACAGAGGGCATTGCTTTACTACGCGTTCCTGTACGGGCGATCACACTGCAGGTGGGAGGGGGGGCCTGTCTGCAGTGCCATTGACATGAATGGCACTGCCACGCCCCCTCCCGCCTCGGCTTGATCTATGCGATCCAGTGCATTCCGGGCTCAGACCGCGCCGGAACTCACTAGATATGGTGCGACTGGGCCCTTAGGCCTGAAGATTAGTTGAAGGAAAAGCTACCCCCGCACTGCAATCTATGCTCCTCCCACAACGACAGGAGTGAAGCTTGCCACCTGAAAATCACAAATATACATATGAGCGCAACACAATATTACTGTGCCAAGCGGAGCTGCACAAATGGGCCCCTAGGCACACCTCCAAACAACGCACTTACCATGCGATTACAGTCCCAGGGGTGCGTTGTGCGCTATTCATTTGAATTCCACCCCAAACGTACCTTCCACTTGCAGTGCGGGTCCTGCAAATCTTGTGCAATCTCTTAAAAAGACCCGGGTGCTGCGTATAATTGCACCCAGCGGTCTGTTCTTCCTTACACAGCTGCACACAATTACATGCAGTCACACACACCAGAACCTGCACATGCGTACAGGTCCAGATGTCCGCAGTGCATACACCCATCTGAATGGATCCATAATAGACTGACTGCTGCGTACAAAACTATACACTATGAGTGGGATTTATCAAAAATGGAGCAGACAGAATCTGGAGCAACCAATCAGCTTCTCTTTCAGTTTGCTTAGTTAAGATTTGAAAATGAAATAGAGAATCTGATTGGTTGCCGTGCGTCTCCTTTTTTTTTTCTTCTAATGAGCCCCTAGAAGGCCCATGAGCCTACCACCATGTAATACTCATTGGCATGCAAACTAATATTGCACAAAGCAATGCGAAAGATTACAGAACATCAGAGATCATTAGTAGCTCCTTCTAAAGAACCCCCTCGGAAAGTGTCCATGGAGGAGAAGGACTATCGGTGACTGCCACCACACACACACGTCACTATTTTTACCCAGAGCGGTCACCATCCCGGTGTAAACCTGCACAGACTCCATGTCATGTCAGCCACGCAGCCCCGCCCCAGACTCAGGCCGCCTATCAGTTCCTACGCACAAACCAATCGACCGCGCTAATTGACGTAATAGCGTAAGGCGTATCGGGAGAAACCTGTCACGTGGTGAAAGTTCTGGTAGCCATGGTGACGCGTCCTCATCAACTTTTCGAAGGCCGAGCGGTGTGTGGAGAATGGAGCAGAGCCGGAGACCTCCTGATCATCATCATCAGCAGCTGGTGGAGGAGCTGCAGGCGGAGAGGAAAATGAAGTGAGATAATTCACGTCTTTTATTATGTTCAGTATTATTGGACTGTGCCAGTTGAAGCTTCACTACTTGTCTATAGCTGTCTCCTTCATATTTATATACAGGATCTCTGCAGCACAAGGTGTTTTATCTTACTTATGTCAGTTCTCACTTGACTAGTTACAAAATTGTTCTGGGTCAGTGACCTAGTCAGAGGATCACCATGACAGCCAGGCAATTAGCATTTCCACAGTCAGCACTGGAGTGCTATAGAGCTGACGGTAAAACTTCTGTCTCTGATCTTTGACTTTCTAGGTCCCCAGTAACCAGTGAAGTCAGAACTGATCCATATGCTTACTTAGTATGCAAATAATAAACATGTTTGGAGTCTGAGGATCAGCATGACCTGTGTGAAGTGGTATCATATCAGGAACTCCTCACAACCAATCATGATACAGCTCAGAGGACACCTGCCAAATATTTCTTGTTACAGTCTGTATACATCAGAGCAATATACAAGAAATCGAGGTGGAATAAGGCAAAGAATGAAAGAACAATACCAACAAAGAGATTAATGTGCATCAAACATGTAACAAGCCACCTCAAAGGATATAAAACAACCCTGAAGTCTGGGAGCAGGCGATGGAAATATTGAAGGCAGTAATGGCGGATCATTCTGACCAACCGCAGCAGCCACACAGGGATTTGGGAAAGCACATTTGAAAATGATGTGAGAGGAAGACGAAAACCTTTCATTGCTTTGAGGCTTTCATGACGTTTGATTTTTCTTTGTGCTAGAAGAAGAAAGAAAACAGGGGGTGCACAAGCTCCTGTGCCGAGGTGAAGTTTGTGCCATGTGCGAGAGTTACAGCATCCCGGCCAATAAAGAGTCTGAAGACAGGAAGTCCCCCGAAGAAAAGAGGTAGAAGATAGAAGTGTCGGCAACAGAGAGAAGAGCGCTGACATCACATCGCTGGAGGGGATCGCTTACAAGGTAAGTCTCCTATAGTGTGCTAATAGGCTGGGAATAATAGCACATTATGGTAAACACCTCCTGGGGGCTCCACATGTTAATTTTGTGTTGGCATTTTAATTTTGCTTTCATTTGCTTATTTTGTCTAAGGGGCGAAAATAAAGAAGGTACACTCACCTGATTCTCACTTCCGCCTGGCTTTTAGATCAGTCCCGGGGCTACGGCATCTAAGGACTCATAACTTCATCATGTCTAATACACGTCTATTAAATATGAAGACATGAGGGACATACCACAGCCAGAGAAGAGGGGTGAGGGTGAGCCAAACGCCGGAATCCCACGTGCGCTGCAAACAAGGAATTACATCTGTATCAGTGGTATCCAATGAAGCTATACGGGTGAAGTGGTCGTTTTTTTTCTGGGAACAATAGTTTCCTACCCTGTCAAGAGATTGGAAGCGTGCTTCTCCGGTTATCCATCTTTCCTCTGTGTCTGAGGGTTCCTTGTTGGGCTGGCAGCATGTCCTATTGGGGTTTTTAATAGAGGATTCTTCTTCTAAGTATTTGAATTGTAGTATAATACCTACAAAGTACTTCACTCGCCTTCCTGATGAAGCGGTGATGTGAAACGCGTTAAAGGTGGAATAATTGAACATTGGTGGAATCACCTTTCAACATCCAGTGGTTGACACCATATGGGTTCTGTTTATCTAGATGCAACCAATCGGTCTTGCTCCTCAGGACATTCTGATAATCCTCTGCTAACTATTGTGACCTGTTGTTATGGGTGTTTAAGGATATTTTTATGTTTTCTATGTTAATAAAAATTTTGTAAAATTTCTTAAACTGGCTCAACTTCATTGTGGTTTTTTTTCCTCATCTCAGAAAGCCCTATATACATTTTGTTCTGTGTATTCAATTAAATCAGAGTGAGACGAGAAAACGTTTTTGGAGGACCTAATATTTATATTAGAAGAGAAACAAGGTATGCAAAGAATACAAAGCCGGCAATTATCTAGAAGTATCTGTTTGTAGATTGTCATTACTAAAAATTTCTAAAGGTGTGTTTGTTATTACCCAAAGATATGGGTAATGTTCCCCTTTTAACCCTTGCAGAGCTGGGGTAACCCCCCTGTATGGGTTCATTTGAAAACATTCCGGAGTTCCTTCTTTAAAGCCGCAACAAAGGGAGCAGGGGGAGATCTACACCAGTACAAAATCAAAGATGTTGAAACAGTTATAAAAGGAAATCAGTCTTCCTGGTTGCATAATTTCCTTCTTTATTTCAGCTTCCGGTATTTTTTTTTTCAGCTGCCTATTAGATCAAAGCAGTGTGGAATCTTCTGGTAATAGCTGTTTCTGTGTCACAAAGAGGAAGGAGAGGTCAGGACCTGAAAGATACAGAGAAACCAGAAGAACCTTAATAAAGTTACTACTAGGGATGCACCAATACTAGTATTGGTATCGGTGCCGATGCCGAGTATTTGGGCATCTACTTGCCCAAATGCTCCGATGCCTAGCCCAATACTTCCTGTACCAAGAAGCCGGGAAGCACGTCATTGCACGCTGCCCGGCTTTCTGATCGGCCGGGAAGGGATCGCAGGGCACATTGTGCCTGCAGTGCATTCGGCTGCGGTGCAATCAAAATGCTGCATGCACTATTTCGATCGCACCGCACACCGCAGCCAAACGCACTGCAGGCACAACGTGCACTGCGATCCCATGCGGGCGATCGCATTGTGGCCGCAGGGCGTGGCTACGGTGCCATTCACTTCAATGCCCGCCACGACCCCTCCAGCACGGCAAAAAACTGAGCCGGCTGCAATGCGAGGCCAGAAACGGACCGGAATACATATTTTTCAAATATGTATGCTGTGTGAACAAGAACACATAACAGACACATAGTGAGGGTTTCTCAAATTTGACTGCAAGTGGAACTACACTTAAAGGCAAATATAACTAAGACAGGCTGTAAGTGCCTGTCTGTATGAGCCTTTAAAATAATTTCAGCACTTCTCTTTTTTTTTCTCCCAGTTAAAGTATACGTACAGCCTATAAAGATTCACAGTGCATTATGGCCAGTAGATGGAGCCAAAAAGCATAGCAACTTCCTATGCTCCTCGGCTCCATCCAGTGGCCATAATGCTCTGCAGATCTCGTTCACAGAGGCATTCACTCTGCCAACATTTTATAAATAGACCCCTATAGGGATACACTAATACTGGTATCGGTAGAGATACTGAGTACTTGGGTGAGTACTCGTACTCGCCCAAATGCTTTGATACCTTCCCCGATACCAGAACTTCCGGTCAGAGGGAGATTTCCTCTGACCAGCAGTGCTGCGAGGGAACATGGAGCCAGCTTCTTGGCTTATCAGGAAGCCGGGCGGCGGATAATGACTCGTCACCTGGCTTCCTGATTGCCCGGGATGCCGGCTCCATGCTAGCGTAAGTACCTGTATTGGTACTTGGTATCGGCGAGTATCGAAAGATAAACATCAGTGCTCGTACTTGATACAGAAAAAACGATATTGGTGCATCCCTAGACCCCTATATGAGTTGCCATAATTAGATGGATTTGCCAATATTAATACAAGTTTCAGCTAAATGTTTGTATATTATCTGCATGTCAAGCATAGAATTGACTTGTATTAGTGCCACAAGACATCAGTTATCCTATAGCCCGCTACCCCCAACCAGAGACAGAAGCCCACCCAACATGGAACATGATACTGTCGTCATTCTGTTACATGGCTTCTTCTTTCTTTTCACTTTCAGGTGTCTAATGGTAAGGGAAACGTTGAACTCAAGTTCTTCAGTGGCCTCCAAGGAAATAAGTACTTAACAAATAGAATGTGAAAAATATATACTTTACTAACCAAAAGATGGAAAAGATGCCAAACACAGAGAGCTATAAATAGGCAATGAATCTGAGAAGGGAACATAATCTTCTCACACTTGCAGTCAAATAGAACTATCTATAGCCATTGGTTTAAAGCTGAACTTCAGACAGGTGGAAAATTTACACAAATTTCTATATTGAAATGTTATATCCTTAAAGCAGAAGTAAGCCGCGGAGGGTAGCGGTTAGCTTTTGCCATAATGTTCCAGTATGTACAGCATTTGCTGTAACACTAGTGTTTTAAAGTGGAACTAAATTCACCTCCTTGCCAGCGCTGACATCATCCCCCAATGTTTTTCTGAACCCACCAGAAGATCGGCAAAGGGAAAGGGGTTTTTAGTTCTGCTTTATAAGCTGTCAAACCTCTGAGTAATGCTGAAACCTGTTGCTTACTGCCAACTAGGGCTGCAACAACTAATCAACATAATCGATTATTCAAAAAGTTGTTAACTTTTTCAATCATCGATTAATCGGCTTCAGATTGGTTGGCCCTGTTCACGGCTCCACACCCGCTGCGCGCCGCACCTCCTCCCCACCTCATGTTCGCCGCTGCCAGACCCACCCGCATCCACGCTCCACACGCCGCATCTCCTCCCCCGCCTCACGTTCACTGCCCGCCCACATCCATGATCGGCACAGGGACACGGGGGGAAGAAGTAAGGAGGAGCAGATGTGGGGGGAAGACAGCCGCTGATAGACAGGTCCGATCTCAGAAGCAAGTTGCTAGAAGACTGCTCAGGTAAGCCTGCACTTTCCCACACATGGTGCTCTATAATGTATTGCTGGGATTTGTTGTACTCCTCTATAGTTGGTGGGATTCTGCATTGCGCTATATAATGTACTATTGCTTGGTTTTGTAGTCCTCTATAGCGAGTGGTATTCGGCATTGCACCACTGTATAATGTATTATTCCTGGGATTTGTTGTACTCCTATATAGTTGGTGGTATTCTGCATTGCGCTGTATAGAGGACTACAAATGAAGGAATAGTACATTATACAGTGCAATGCGGAATACCACCAGCTATAAGAGTACAACAAATCCCAGGAATAATACATTATACAGTGGTGCAATGCCGAATACCACTCGCTATAGAGGACTACAAAACCAAGCAATAGTACATTATATAGCGCAATGCAGAATCCCGCCAGCTATAATGTACTATTGCTGGGATTTGTAGTCCTCTATAGCGAGTGGTATTCGGCATTGCCCCACTGTATAATGTATTATTCCTGGGATTTGTTGTATTCCTCTATAGCTGGTGCCATTCTGCATTCATTGCTGTATAATTTTACACTTTACATTTCACTATATTGCACACCACACTTTTGTTTTCTTTTTTACTTCCACCGCTCCAAGCTTGCTCCTGTGATGGACTACACTCTCAATACAGACTAGTAGTCCATCACTGGAGCTATTTAATTTTTTTTTTTTTTAAACCGATTAATCGAACTTAATAATCGGCCAACTAATCGATTTTGAAAATAATCGTTAGCTGCAGCTCTACTGCCAACCTCCACAGATTACTATTAGGCTTCCTCAATGGCCAATAAAATTGTTAAGGAGGCAGGAAGGAAGGAGGATAGGATTCTGGCACAATGATCTTATGATCTCTGCACCAAGTGTTTAGTTTTTAATTTAAGTCTCTTTAAATAGTGTGGCCTTTGTGTCATTAAATCAGAGTTCACCTTGATTGACTAACTGCTGTTTTACTTCCCTATGCGGAGATATTCTTCCCAAATTCTGTTATTTCCCATGTGACGTGTAATGCTCTCTACTACTATAATTTTCATTGGTTACATTGGTTGTCTTTGTTTTCCTCAGGGAAATGTTACAAGCATCTATATACGAAAGAAGAAATGCAATTGCCGATCTGGAAAGGAAACTGAACAGTGTGGATGATGAAGGTTAGGAGATGTCTTTGTGTTATAATCAGATGTTGAGAGGTGTTTTTTTTTGTATTCTTGGTTATAGTAAGCGAGAGTGGAATCTCTGCAGGGTCTTTATCGGTGTCTGTGTTCCCATTGGGGAGATTTTGCCATACTTCCAGCCCCGATTATACCAATCTACAGTCAAAAGCTCCCCAGTGCAAACACAGCAACATTCATATTTTCCACTTCGGATCAGCACCAGTCACCACCAGTGCTCATTGAATGGACAGAGAGGGAAAGGGGCAGGCACAGCTCTACAGAGCCGGCTGTCAATTAGGCAGCTGGGTGGATCTTTGCACTCTCAGCATATAGTGGTCACTAGCCTGCTATATGCTGACATTGGGTCACGGGAGTACATCAGAAAATCAAAAATTCAAAAAAATCTAAATCAATAAATTCCCATCGTTGAAATTTCTCTTCTGATAATGTATTTATATTTTATCTCATTCTGCTGTTAAATTGATACGGAGATTTGCAAGGATTTTAGAATAATTCATTGCGTAGATCTATTTGACTCATTTCTTCAAGGAAACCTATTCCACCTCAACCTAACCACCGAACTATCACTTTTTCAAAGAATTCCTCCCCACACAGCTGCCTCCTCATGTATCACTTCCCCCTCCCTTTAGATTGTAAGCCCTCAGGGGCAGGGCCCTCCTTACCATCTTGTCTTGAATTTTATTGTAACTGTAATACCTTCCTTATATTGTAAAGCACTGCACAAACTGTTGGCGCTATATAAATCCTGTATAATAATAATTTGCGCCAAAAGTGGACCAGCAAGTAGATGAACTCTATTTGTAAGTAAATGAAAAACAAATTTGTTTAACTAATAAATGTAAGATGATTTTAAATCGGCATGCAGAGCTGCATGCTGATGTGATTTTTAGTGAAAGGTAAAGGTCCACTTTAAGGATCTTTAGTCTCATTTTATGATACATCAAGCAGTATAGAGAGGTAGTTACATATTCCAGACCTTAGGAAGCAGACCCTTCTTCTACACATGTGAGGAGCTCTGGGAAACCTGGCCGCAGTGGATTATAGAAAACTCGGAATGATGTAAATGGAGCAGATTTTGACATAGTTGCTTTGTCTCCTGGAAAGAAGTTTAGTCATTAATGACTGGAAATGCTCTTTAAAGTGGTGGAAATGCTCTTTAAAGTGGTGTTTAAACTGAAAATTAGCCAGCCCAGAATACCCCTCTCTTACCCTCCTATTTAAATCTATATGGATAAAACAGACCTTGGACCAGTAGTTGGAGGGTTTTCATCTCTCAGTCCTGCATCAGGCCCTGTATGCTCCTCCTTGTCCATTATAAATAAGTCAGCTGGCTCACCCCTTTTCTGCTAGACATAGAACGAACCCCCATTTTGCTGTTGAACTAAATGGCCCTGACATTATTCATAAACTATTTTATATAGAGTGTAAAATGTGACTGATTTAAAGTGAATTGAAACATGACATGCTTCAGGCTATAATTTGAAGTTGGCAATTTAGTCCTGCACTGTAATTTTTCTTTTCATATTTTCTTTATGTATCCATACCATTATTTCTATCACTCATTACAGGCAGCGACGACGCCAAGTTTTAAAAGTTTTATAATATGTTTGATGCTTGGCAAAATGCACTTTTCTGATTCACAACATATGGTTATATATGGACTAATGGAAAGGCCTTTCACAATCCCCAGGAGGACACAGCAATGACTAGACAGGTCTTCACTCTACTAAATATTTAAGTGCTTAAGAAGAAGTGTTGAGAACTGACTTGAGCTCCATTAAAGGGCCGGAGAGTAATATTCAAAGAATTTTAAAATCTAGAACTTTGCAAAAGCAGCAAATGATTTGACAAGGTGATGAGTGGCAAAGAATCAGCAGCTCACTATTTGGTGATGTGCATGGACCTACCTAAACTAATCAGAATGTAGGGTTTGTTTTGACTGTGTTGGTTTTATTGAACTGTATCATTTATTACCAAACTGTGTTCATTTTTGCTGTTACCTCACATTCTGTATATGTATTTTCTCAGAAAATCAAATTTTTATTAAAAGTATAAGATTGACACTGGAGCTTGCGTAGTGGACTCACCCCTACTCAATGTATTGCTAGAAACATGCATTTAATTGAGTAAAAAGTAGCTACAAAACATAATTTTAGCATGGCCATTGTCTTAGTAGGCTGACAAGGGCTTTGGTCCCCGTTCACCCATCATTCTTACCAGTGTGCTTTTTAGCAGCACCCTTTCCATTCTCTATGTTTAACACCATATTGTACTGCTATGTTTCATTATAGGGGACATTTATAACAGAGAGCAAATATCACTAGGTGCTCTCCGGTATTTACCGCACTGTTACTCCATAATACTGTCTGCATTTTACAGCCCATTCATAAAATGCAGGCCGTTATTATGGAGCCTGCAGTTACCTATGAAGTTCTCTCTGCTTAAAGCCTGTGGCGCACTGCATGTGAATCCGTGTGGAGCAAAGTAAAACTTTCAGGTACGGACTGTATGAGCTGAGCGCGGCCAGATCAAAAGACTGCATCTTCAGCCACTTGGCTCGCGCGTGACAACCGAACAGACTTTGCATCCTGACGCAGGGGTTTATAAACGCAAACCGATTGGCTGAAGATAAAATTTGTCATCCTGGCACGCTCAGTTATGCGAGCTTTTGCAAGTTGACATGCTGGAGTGAAAATGACGTGACACCCTGCTCCGCGCTGCTTCGCGGGCAGTGTGTCACAGGCTTAACACAGAAAAGAGAGCACGTTGATTGGAGAACTCGCCAGTCACGTGACTTTGATAGGTCACATACCCGCACTTTGCTTCCAGCTTTTTTGTAGCTGTTTTGACTGATCTTGTTAATGGTGCTCTGCTGGTCTCGGCGTTCCGCTGAGCACACCTCTTTGCTTTATAAATGTGCCGTCTTTTTTGTTTATTGATATGCGATATCCCCCTTATATCACATAGCGCTGATTTTATTAGATCTTTCCATCTCCTTCTTTCTTGTCGGTTTAATTCATGTGTGTCCTTTGATTTTCGCTGTATTTGTATGTGTATATAAACATGAATTTTCAGTTATCTGTAAGAAACCATAGCTGAAGACGAGTGCCTATACTTTTTATATTCCTATTTCTCTCTATGATGGACACAGTACAACATATTATGGCTGAAATGTTGTTTTTTTTTCTGTCCCAGGCAATGAATGGAAGATAAGGTATGAGACACAAATTGAACTGAACAGACAGCTAGAACGGCAAATTCATATACTTCAAGAAAAATCAGAACATCTACGAGGCAATCCAACAGGTCTGTTCCCGGAACGGTAATGGGTGGTTGTAGTAATGAGACTGCTATCAGAAACAATTGCAGAAGGGCGACATTTTTATGAAATCCAAATGGTGGTTATCGTCTGAAATTACTTTCACCCCGTTGTGCACAGATCTGCTGTGTAAAGCTTATAATATCCTATTAAAGGGTTTGTAAGCATGAACAATTCTTAAAACGTAGGTAAAGCCAAAACTTTTTATTTGTTTTGAACCGAGTAGATAATAGCTCCATCAATTCTTTTTTTTTTTTTATACATCTGTTAGAAAGCATTCTCTCTCGTCTTTTGAGAGACACGGCTTGGTGATATTAAGAAACGTTGGGTTATACTAGTATGGTTTAAGAAAATGAAATGGAATATGTTAGTAGTAGTTACTGGAGGTCAATGATTCCACTTCTTGTTAGGTTTCTCATTAAGTTTCTATGAATCAATTGATAGATAAACGAGAATGTGTTGTTAATAGTGTAAGGGCTAACAATGAAGAGACCCTTTATTCTATTTCATCATATATTGTATACAGGTGAAACTCGAATAATTAGAATATCGTGCAAAGTTCATTTATTCCACTAATGCAACTTAAAAGGTGAAACTAATATATGAGAGACTCATTACATGCAAAGGAAGATAGTTCAAGCCGTGATTTGTCATCATTGTGATGATTATGGCTTACAGCTCATGAAAACCCCAAGAACCCCAAATCCACAACCTCAAAAAATGAGAATATTACATGCAATCAATAAAACAAGGATTGTACATAGAACAATATCGGACCCCTGAAAAGTACAAGCATGCATATGTACTCGGTACTTGGTTGGGGCCCCTTTTGCAGAAATTACTGCCATTACTTTTGCACGATATTCTAATTATTCGAGTTTCACCTGTATATTCGTTAATGTGGATATTCTCACAAGAACATCTATAAGAATGTGTGTTCTTCCTGTTTTAGATCGACTCTCATCCATTCGCTCGTATGACCAAATGCCTGAGGTAGGTATTGAAGCTGAACTGTATGCAGACAGGGCTATGCTGTGTGGCAGCACTGTGTAAATCTCATTGCTGAATAGATAAATACTAATCCTTTAAAAGGTGAAATTGCTCCCTTGTGTTTCATCTGTGTATGAAAGTATGAATGTAATTGTTTGCCTGGAGTTCAGCTTACAAGCCACACTCCAGAAAAAATAATAATTAACACACCTCACTGGGTGTGTGTTATGTGCAGAGTATAAAAATCTTACCTTGCAGTATGCTGGCTCCTGCACACAAGGCCCAGTATCCAGGAACTGAGGAGAGGGAAAGATGTGACTTGAGCTGTACATCACTCCAGCCACATCACCTGCCTCTCCTCGCTATTGCCCATTCACAAAATGTCTTGTATTTTTTCAAAGAATACAAGGCATTCTGGGATTGGGCGGGAGTGTGACATCATCTTTCCTCCTCCAATCACACAATGCCTTGCATTCTTTGAAAAAATACAAGACATTTTGTGAATGGGCAAGTAGTGGGGGGAGGGGGGGGGATGCAAACAGGGCCTTTTACTGCTAGTGTTATCTCTCCCTCTCCTCAGTGCCTTGATTATGATTATGCTAATTGGCTGGGAATTGTGTGCAGGAGATGGCGTGCTCCACAAAGAACAGCCAACTTTTTAATAATTTACACACCCAGTGTGGTGTGTGAATTAGAATGTTTCCCAGAGTGTGGCTTCAAGCATTCAGCGTACTTATTTATTTATTAAAGGTATTTATATAGCATAGAGTATTTACATTCTGAACATTCACATTAGTCCCTGCTCTCAAGGAGCTTACAATCTAAGGTCCCTGTATAACGCGTCCTGACCAGGATTTGAACTGGAGACCCCCAGTGCTGCAAGGCAAATGCTAGGGAACTACCATGTACGTGCCAGTAGAAACCAATCACAGGAGAAAGGCGTGTGCTATTGTAGTTGACTTCATTATCAAAATCTTATTTGTCTGGCTGTCATGCTGATCCTCTGACATCACTGCTTTCTGCGGCACTGACCTGGAATAGATATTCAGCACAGTTTTAGCTCTAGTCTGATCTCACTTGCAGCATGCTACTTTAAGGTTGGAAACTCATAAAATATTGAAGTCTTTGAATCGGCGTTATGGCCAGTCAATACACATTTCTTTCATGACGGGTTCCCTGTATGAAGGTGCAATATCTTTTCTTTCTATGGTCTACTGCCATCTTCCCACAAGCACTTGTGTAGATGGTCTTTTTTGAACAGCTTATATCAGGCTGAATCCAGCACAGCCAGGACCCACCGTCTGCTGTTTCAGAGGATTAAATAACTTTTATTAACTCTTGCAGTGGAGCTACCCCCGCATTGCAAGGGTTAAGTGCATTTTTGTCTAGGTTCAAAAAGAACAGAGTTTATACTCACCCGAAGCTCCAAGCTGGCCAGCTGTCACAGAGCTCCCTCTAACCTGTCCCTTCCTCCACTGCAGCATTGAAATGTTCCTCGGCGTCCTCACGTCTATACACAGTGTAAAAGTTTTTGTCAAATAAAAATGAACCTCATGACTTGTGGTCCCACTGTATGCACGTACAGTTGGCCATCTTGCCCAGTACATGTCCTATTTCAATGCTTTGCAAAACAGCCAGAGGACAAGCTGATGTAGACGGAGCTCAGACACCCTACTGAAAGATGCATGACTGAACAAGGAGGAGTAATGCTTCATTTGTCTTATCTCTTCACAGCTGCAGCTTTCAGTTATGTTAAAATCATTCACTCCATCAATCAACAGCCTTTTGAAGCAAGGTTCAGTGCTCAAGTTGACTTGCTGAAGCTTTAGTGTAGAACGCATCTTTTAAATAAACACTAGGGGGCATCTTCCCACAGAGCTGGTTATTCAGAAGTTCAGGAAGCACTTCTTAATGCAAAATGTGCACAATTCTTCTCTAAGGTCTAAGCTCTGCTGTATAGGCCATTACCAGAAGCTGGTACAGAGTCAAATTTGGACAGTCTCACTGCTTGCATGTAAAAAAATAATAATATAATGAAACACAAATGCATACAGCTCTGTGTTCATTCATTTATTTTATACTGTTTCTGCCTGGAGATCAGTTCATGTCTTTTCTTGGTGTATTTATAGGGGGCATTAAACCAATACCTAAAGCGTCTGGAGGATGAGAAGACTTTGATAGAAAATCAATTAAAAGATTTTGAACTTCGAATAGAACAAGAAGCAAAGGTATTTCAGACAGATGTGTACAGTTCACTACTGAAAATGGTGTACAAGCAGATACAATGTTGAATGGGCAAGAGAGGGTTTGAGAAACGTGTATTCTACAGTCCCCTCTTGTATAGCATCTAAGGCCCCATTCACACTGAGCAACATGAAAATCGTGCGACTTTGAGCGATATTGCGCGACGAGCGATATTGAGCGACGTGTCGCGCGACTTTTTCCTATTGGGCTGTATGCAATCAGGAGCAATATCGCTCAAAATCGCTCTAAAAAAGGGTCATGTAGGAGCGACAAGCTACCAGCGACGAGCTACAAGCGATATTGAGCGATATTGAGCGACGAGATGTGAACAGCTCTATTGAAATGTATTGGAGAAGCTACATAGAGCGATATCGCGCGGAAATATGAGTGATATCGCTGCAAAAATCGCTCAGTATGAACGGGGCCTAAACGTAAACTGTTGTTAGTTATGGAGCCTAAATTGGTAAGTAAATGAAACACAAGCAGCTAGAGAAGCTGTGTATGGCTGCAGATTTCCTCCAGGGTGCCCTCAAACCTGCTAGTGCTCATTTATATAAATCTTAGGCTGGAAGCACACTTTTCCAGTGCAGTGACACACACATTAACACGCACTACAATGCATGAACATGCTCTGCATAAAAAGAACCCTTTTTATTTTGAATCGGCCATTACTGGTTGCCTAGGGTCAAAGAGTTAGGACTTAAGAATCTCTTGTGTGATTTTTTTTTCTTAGTAATTTTCACTAGAGGTGCCCTGAAAAGAACATTTCAAAACCAAAATGAAGAAGAAATTTTTACTAAATATTTATTTTTTTGGGGGGCTTTTGGGAAATACTGGGGGTCTAAACAGACCCCTGATATTTCCCTTTTAAAATAGAAAAAGAGATCGAGGACACAGAGTACTCAATCTCTTTCTGCAGCCCCTGTTATCAATGAACAGGAATCCTCTATGAGTGTTTCTGTTCCTTCATAACTTGAGGAGTTAGTGTGTTTACCGTGTCCACAATTATTTACAAACACTCAGCAATCACTGATCATTGACTGCTTGTACACGCTCTCCATTCTGACTCGCTGTCACAGGAAGCTGAGCAAGCGGTGCGGGGAGGAGAGCTCGGTCTCCTGTGACAGCTGACTCCTCCCCCTGTACTGCCAACCCAGCCTCCTGTGACAGCTGACGCCTCCCCCTGTACTGCTGACCCAGCCTCCTGTGACAGCAGTCTCCGCCCCCACACTGCTGCTCTCCTGATCGTCACAGGAGGCTGGACGGTGCAGAAGGAGAGCTCAGCCTCCTGTGACTGCAATAACAGCTTTCTCTTCCCACCCCGCCGCTCTCCTGAGCTGTCACATGAGGCTGAGCGGTGTGGGAGGAGAGACTCCGGCCACTCACAGCACTCTCCTCTCCCGCACCGCTTTGCCTCCTGCAACAGTTTCTCTCCTCCCTGCTGGGACACAGAGCAGCACCCAGCGGGGAGGAGAGAAACCATTTTGCCAAAAGTGCCATTTTCGGCCGATGTGTTTCGGCAGCCGAAATTCCGGTGCATCCCTAATTTTTACCTTTACCGGAATTTTGTTTTTCTTTTGCTGGGATGCTGTATGGTGACCAGGTTGTATCTGGATGCTACGGCATCTTTTCATTAGACAGATTCTTTTTATGATGACAGATATTTCTCAGAAGTGGCAGGCCACCTCTCTGGCTAGGCTCTCTAACTGGATCCTACTGATGATCACCCAGGCCTATGCTCTTAAGAGCCTGGAGCCTCGTGTTCCTATCATGGGTCATTCCATGAGAGCAATGAGTGCGTTCTGGGCCTTCAACCAGGCTTTGGCCTGTCAGGTTTGTAAAGGGGCTATCTAATCTTCAATTCATACATTTACAACATTTTATAGGATTTATGTTTTTGCTTCTAATGCCTTACAAGAAGCAGGGTGATGTTTTGTCTTTGACATTTTAGTGTCTTTACGTTTTTCTGTGGATACTGACTTGTGACGTCCCAATGGTCAGGATCTACATACTTCATGTCCTTCAATTGAGGGAAAAGAAATGTTACATCAAAATGTTTCTAACTGTATATTTTAGTGGCTGAAGATACATATATGTTAATAGCATTATGGCTTGTTGGGAAAAAAAAGGGGTTCTTTAGTATAACAGTACAGGGCATAGGCAAAAAGCATACACATATCAAGGGTTACATTAGACAGGCCGACAGACACTAAAAGGCACCAATTATGACTGACCTTCTCCGATCGCCTCTCCCCAGTTTTCTGTAACTGTAAGCAGAGATACCCTTTAAAGAGTAACTTTACCCATATCTTTAAAATAACAACAAACACACCTTTAGAAAAGTTTAGTAATGACAATCTACAAACAGATCATCTCAGGGGAGGAAAACGCCTTTCCCTGAGATCACAGATGAGATTTCCCAGCAATGCTCTGCTGATGTAACCTTCCCAGAATGCAACACTTTGGCACATTACATAATTTGTGCCGGAACTGGACCAGCAAGTAGATGAACTCTATTTGCAAGTAAATGAAAAACAAGTTTGTTTAACTAATGAGTGTAAGATAATTTTAAATCGGCATGCAGAGCTGCATGCTGATGTGATTTTTAGTGAAAAGGGTAAAGGTCTGCTTTAAGTTAGGAAAAGGAGCAATACATTGTAATTAATGTGTACTTTGGGTTTTATCTCGGCTGACAGGTCATTTTGAATGTTAATGTGTGACCATAGAGTTGCAGCATTGAATAAATAATATATTAAGAGAGATGGATTGAAGCTGACATCCAGTCTAGTGAAGAGCTTGCTCCTTCACATTGAGTACATTACCCTTATCTGTCAGACTAGAATTAAAGGAAGGTGTGAGCAGCTCTATAGAGTGTTAATTGATGCTCCTATAGTAAGTAGATATATAATGAAAGTGGATGTTGTGAGCAATAGACCAGGAGCCTAGGCTGAGCTCATCAATAATATAATGCAGCAGTTGTGTTAACAAACAACTTAAACGTCGAAAGATTTTTGTATTCTCCTGAAATGCCCCAAAACTGCAATATAGATATATGGAACAATGGGTAGTCTGTCTAAAAATGCCAACTTGGTTTCAAATTAGGATGAAAGAATTGCACATTGCAAATAAAGAGATTTGCAAACAACTTTCTAGAGTTAAGCTGGCCATACACTGGTAGATTTTTCGTACAAGCGTTCATATAACAAATCTCATCAGAACATTTATTAATTGCATCAGAGACTTGTAGAATGTCGTTCAAAATCTTGTTTAGTTTTAACATTTGATTTTGGAATGAATGGAGTTTCTCAAAGTTTACGTTATCCTTTCAGAAACTCCATTCAGAAAAAAAAATTCCATCCTGCTGCTTCAATTTTTGTTTTTTTCTTCTCGTGACAAAATAAATTGTAAATTTTCCATCACTTTTTGTAACTATTGGAAAATCGTCCAAACGTTCTGAAAACAAATTTTTCGAAATTAATTCTACTGGTGTATGGCCAGCTTTAGTGTATCCTATTTTTGTCTTTGTCTCCCCACTTTGGAGAATTGTCCTCTCCAATTGTCCTGTGGACCATTGTCATCAGGATAGAATGTGATAGGAGATCTGAAATTTAACAGATGTCACCAATGCTTGATAAGGCACACATATAGCATGCGTGTTACCGTGGCACACTGGTGTAAATGGGCCCTAGGGCAACAGTCTTTTCAATTTTAAAGTAATATGTTTCATCTGAAGCCTTTTATTAGCCAGTATAACCCGATTCTGTTTTTGAAGTTCTTTTTTAAAAACAATGGCTCTATGTAGGGCTCCAATCTCTGGTCACATTTTCTGGGCAATATACCTAATAATAAAAATCATGCCTCCATTGTCACATGACCATGCAGAAAAAAAGGTACTGGCAACCGTAGGGATTTAGTGAGCTGGGGGGGCTTAGGTGTGCTAAACGAGAATTATCTTCGGATGAAGAATTGGGGCACTCAGCAGACAGGCCGTGTCAACTCAAATGTTTTCATGATTAACTGGAGGACAACATTCATTTATTTTCTGTTTTCATTGCAGGCATACTACAAGGTTAATGATGAAAGAAGAATGTATATTTCAGAAATTTCCCAGGTTTGGATGTTTTGCTTAAAATATATAATATCTATGTCATGAAACATATTGAAAAGGATTGCTGTTTTTTAACCTTTTTGTGACCAGGGGTTATCCATGTCTAGACGCCAAGGCCAAATTTAGCATCGCCAGTATGTGCAGGTTAAAGTGTTCTAAATCCTAGAACAAAAATTTAATATATTGCAGCTTTCCAGTCATAAGATATGGAGCCTGCATTTGTTTTCCTTTTTTTGCAGATTGTTTTCCTTTATTTTAACCTGGTGATCCTGCCCATATCACTTCCTGTCCTAGGGTGACCATTCTCACTCACTGCTTCTACAGAGAAGCAGTATTGTCACTCTAAAATAGAAAGTGTGTTAGGACTACAGAACATCTTCCCTTTTCTGTGCTTCAGAGACACTATGTTGACAGCTCAATACAGGACAACACAAGCTCCCTAGGCTTCTGACAGATCAACAGCAATTGTTTTGTACTTTTAAAGTGAAAATGCATATTTCACTTTAAGAGATTATAGTAATCATTTTTAAACTTTTTTATTTTTTTTGCCTTTTACCTCAATAGCCAGAGTTGGCCATGTTGCTTCTCTCAAAGCATCTCTTTCTGCACGAGACCCACTTAGAGTTTAGTTGGCCAGCCTCAGCTTGGTAGACAATCATATTTTATATAGTGATTACATGATTGGGAACCATGCTGGTTGGTTCCTAATCGCTGTATCTAAAGAGGTCAATGTGCCGGGGTGTCACTGGACTCGCAGATGGAACGGGTGCAGGTTTGGCGCAAGTCTCACTAAAGTTTTGTGTTAGTTACTACTTCAGATTACTGCATTTTATTGTTTATATTATTGACTACATATTAAATTCCTTTCACGGATGTATGCAGCAGCAGGCTAATCCAAGACATCTCCTGTTCTGTGTTTATATCCTGCTATGCTGTGAATGACATGCGCTTGGCAGACGGGCTGCATACTGAGCAGGTCTTCAGACAGCATCCCCTAGTGAGGGAGGTTATAGAGCATTTGAAACTAGATTTGGATCTGCAGAAAAGGCAACTTATCTTATAAACATTTTCCATACCATTCCAGGACTCCTAGACAACCTTCACCTATCTTTTGAAGTTGTTCCCGGGACAGAAATTGAGGAAACAATGTCTCTAATGGAGCTCTGCATAACAGTAAATCCCAGACAGGGGCTTAAAGCAAAACTCCAGTTAAAAAAAATGTATTAACCCTTGCACTGGGACTACCCCCACACTGCAAGAGTTAACTGCTTTTTTTTGCCTAGGGTTAAAAAAAAAAGTTATACTCACCCGATCCTTTGCGCCAACCTTAGAGCTCCGATCATTATACCAGTTCCTGGAGCCTCTCTTCCCCACTTCTGCAGTAGTCTAAGGTCCCTGAGTCATCACGTTCAAAAACAAAGGCATCCCATTGCATAAAACCTTTATAAAACTTTATTAAACAACAGTTATAAGAACTTACATTAAAAAGATCTAGCCATGCTCCAGGAAGTGCAAGGTCCTTTTTTTGGCTACCTTATCCGTAGGAGAAATTGGAGGGACTGATTAATGGTATTGTCAGCTGGCGCAGAGCAGAAGATCGGCTTTGAAATAACTGGATGATGTGGTGACATGTTTTGACACCCCATTCACACTAAAGCGACATGCAACTGGTGCGGATTTCCGCGCGATCGTAGCAGCACGACCTTTCGTATTGGGCTGCATGAAAATATAAGCAAAATCGTGCTACATCCACGCAAAAAAGGGTCAAACACGAGCGACAAGCTACAGGCGACATTGAGCTGCATAATTGAACAGCTCCATTGAAAATCATTGGACGAGCGAGATCTCGCAACATCGCGCGGCAATATGCGCGGTTTTCGAGCCGAAATCCGCACGGTAATCCGTTCAATGTGAACGGGAACTTATGCAAGTTCTTATAAATGTTTTTAATAAAGTTTTATAAAGGTTTTATGCTATGCGATGCCTTTGTTTTTTTCCTGAGTGATGTAACATATGTGAAGATTCGGTATAAGGAGATCTGCTGGGAATTTTAATGGATGTATATGAAGGTGAAAGGACAAAAATTAGCGTTATTTGATCAGGATTGGGGGACACTTTCTATCAAAAAACTACCGTATTGTTTGTGGACTTTGTTTTGTTTTTTTTGTAATACTTTTTGCTTAATATTTTAATTTGTTGCTGTTAGACCACAAAAAAAACCCACTGTGCATAAAAATCTCTAACAGCAACAAATAAAAACCTTGGTGAACTGTACATGGAGAAGTAGTGTACTGTGCATGCTCGTTCCTGCAAAACATTTTATTTTGCCCTAATAATAAGCTCCTAGTCCAAAAAAAAAACACTGCACATAAAAATCTCGGAGCTTATTATTAGGGCAAAATAAAATGTTTTGCAGGAACAAGCATGCACAGTACAGTACCTCTCTATGTACAGTTCACCGAGGTCTTTTTTTATTGATTATTTGGCCCCAGTACTCTTCCATATTCCAGATGTTTCAGTTTTTATATTTGCTGTTAAACCACAATCACTCAAGACGTTTCCACGCGAGTTACCAGGTCTGCATACCTGCTTGGATTTTTCATTTTATATTACGAAGAATGCAGCAGAAGATGTTGCATTCTTGTGGGGAGAACCGTTGGGTATAAGTAAGGAACACCCAAATCTTCAAGGTAAGCAGAAACTATGAAAGGAAAAAAGAAGTCTGTATTGAGCGCACTCTGATGAATGGGTAATTGGGGGAGTTGTATGTTCCAAAGGGGGGCATAGCGTGCTGCTCTTTGGTAGTGTTACGTACCGTGGTGCGGGCCCGAAGTGATAAGGAGGACCTCCCTTGCGGTTCCGTCTGTGGACCCCTGAGGTGCAACAGGGGGTCACAGGCAAGAGCAGCACGGGTGCCGGTATGGAATCCTGGGTGCCAGCTGAGCGTGGTGCTACACTGGAGAATACCAAGAATGGTCAGGAGCAAGCCGGGTCAGAAGCCAGAGAGGTAATAATAATAGTAGCCAAGCAGAATCCAGAGAGTCTGGAAAGTAAACACAAAGGGAGCGCCTTTCCTAGTGCAGATCAATTTATTTCAATAAGCACGAAGTGAAAAAGAGATAAAATGGTACTCACAAACATGAGTGTTACACAGGCATGGAATGGGAGCTGACATGCAGTAAGACATCCACTAAGACATCCACTAGACAATTCCTGTGTGTGCTGCCCTTTACTATGCATGAGCTCCTGATGGGAGACGGAGGCTTCTGAGGTGAAGGAGCAACTCTGATGTGGAGGGGGACTCTAATGTGATAGTGGACTTCTGTGTGAAGAAGAACCAGGGTGATGAATGGTGAACATTGCTCATGCATAGTAAAGGGCAGCACACACAGGAATTGTCTAGTGGATGTCTTAGTGGATGTCTTACTGCATGTCAGCTCCCATTCCATGCCTGTGTAACACTCATGTTTGTGAGTACCATTTTATCTCTTTTTCACTTCGTGCTTATTGAAATAAATTGATCTGCACTAGGAAAGGCGCTCCCTTTGTGTTTACTTTCCAGATTCCCAGCTTTCCCGGCTTCTTTGGGGCAGCATCCTGCAGTATGCCTGAGAAGATTTCCCAGTGAGGACTGATAGTTAGTGGCGCTTCATTGTTTTTACAGAATCCAGAGAGTGGACAGAGACAAGCCATGGTCAGAAGCCAGAGAGATCATCTAAGAACATAAACAGGATCCAGAGAATGGTCAGGTACAAGCCAGGGTCAACACAGTAAGGAAATAGCAGGAACAGAGCAATACTGACAGGACACAGGCTGAAGAGCACTCAGCAATGACTGAGAGTGCGGAGTCTCCTTATATATCCCTAGTGACATCACTGGGCGGCGTCAGGACGCACAGGGGCGTGTCCCCCCGGCCCGTTATGGACTGCGGCCTGAGACCCGACATTGCCCCCCCACAAGGGGCGGTCTCTGGGTGCCCCATTGGTGCTGCTTCTCAGGATGGTTTTGTAAGAAGGTCCGGATGAGTCTGGGAGCATGGATATTGGCAACAGGCTCCCAGGAATTTTCTTCAGGCCCGTACCCTTTCCATTTGCCGAGGAACTGTCCTATGCCCCCGCGTCTCTGGCAGTCCAAGACGGCCTCTACCTTATACTCCTCTTCGCCATTCACCAAAATGGGTCCAGAAGTGTCTGGGATGCGATCAGGGAAATTATCCGGAACAGTAGGTTTCAACAAGGAAACATGAAAGACAGGGTGGATTATGTAGGCTTCTGGTAAGGTTAGTCGGTAGGCAGCCGGATTGATCTTGCGTTCCACCGGAAAAGGCCCAATGAATCTGGGACCCAGTTTTTTGGAGGGGCAAGCTAATTTGAGATTACGGGTGGAAAGCCACACCAAGTCTCCGATTTGTAATTCCAGGTCACCCCTGCGAGTCTGGTCGAAAGCCCTCTTGGCGTCTTTCTGGGCCTTGGCAATCGTTTGCACTGTAGAATAGTGTCAGGCTGCGTAAGGGCATCGGGCATCGAGTACATGTTGGACAGGGCGTCAGGTTTTCCGTTGCGTGGTCCAGGGCGATAGGTTATGTGGAAGCGAAACCGGGAGAAGAAGAGTGCCCATCGGGCCTGCCAAGGTCGTAAACGTCTGGCAGATCTTAGATATTCTAGGTTCTTATGATCAGTGTAGATCAGAACTGGATGGGTTGCCCCTTCTAGGAGCTATCGCCATTCCTCTAGTGCCAACTTAATGGCCTGGAGTTCTCGATCGCCGACATCATAGTTCCTCTCTGCGGTTCTCAGTTTCCTTGAAAAGAATGCCATGGGGTGCAGAAGTGTTTTCAGGCCCTGGCGTTGGGATAACACTGCCCCTACTGCCACCTCGGAAGCATCCACCTCCAACACATATGGTAGTGCGGGATCTGGGTGTTTCAGGATGGGGGCGGATGTGAAGCGGAGCTTCAGCTGGTCGAAGGCAGTTTGCGTGTCTGCAGGCCACTGGAAGTGTGT